GTAAAACAGTCTTTCCGAGGAATGTTTATCCACACGAACCTTATCTCATTTGGAGAGCTGCCAAGTAACTAGTTTCCAACTGCAGGGCAAGGCAAAACTTGGCACAGAGTCTCTTATAGTCACAAACAGAACTTTCCACACTTGAAACGACCGAAGGAATGAATTGTTTCCTGCAAAATCCCCCTCCCCGTTCATTCCCATTTTGTTTCCTATGGGAGGGGCCAATCACCTCCAAGGCTTTACTCCCAAGTTGACCCTGCTTTCTTAGTTGTTCTTGTCTTCTGGCAGNAAAGCACCTTTGGGACAACCATGACCTGGGGCAGGGGGTCACCAACCTTTCTGAGCTCAGGGACCACTAAATTCATAATTTTAAATCTCACAGACCATGAATGTGAATTTTTAAAAAAGATAAATACGATTTAGTGCAATATAGCTAAAGGTCCCCACCACCCATATGTGCTAGTCATTCCTGACTCTAGGGGGCGGTGCTCATCTATGTTTCAAAGCCGAAGAGCCAGCGCTGTCCGAAGATGTCTCCGTGATCATGACTCAATGCCGAAGGTGCACGGAACGCTGTTCCCTTCCCACCAAAGGTAGTTCCTATTTTTCTACTTGCATTTATTTACGTGCTTTCAAACTGCTAGATTGGAAGAAACTGGGATAAGTCACAGGAGTTCACCCCGTTATGCGGTGCCAGGGATTCGAACAGCCGAACTGCTGATTATTTTGATGGACAAGCTTCAGCGTCATAGCCACTGTGCCCCCTTTAGGGCAATATAAAAAAATGCAAAGAATTTTTCTGCGGACCACCAAAACTTTCTCACGAATAGCATCCCACGCACCACTTTTTTGGTGACCACTGACCTGGAGGACGGAGAATCTCTATGGATTTCCAGACAAATTCTTGAAACTCTAAAGTGTTGGAGTAGCTACAACTTCTGAAGGCACGCCAATTCTGAGTCAAAAGTCTCTTTATAGGGACTGCTCGGTTTTTGGCCGCCAGGAAATATTCTCCTGATTGGTGTGGGGGAGGGAAAGGATGCCTCCCCGGTGATTCTAGCACTTGGCTGTGTTCTGACCCAGCCTTAGCAGAAGCAAGAAACGGAAAAAAACCACTTTATTTACCTCTTGGGAATTAATGACATTCACACCCCGAAAAGTCCAGGCAATAGTCCTTCAAGGAGTTAACGGCAGTAACAGACCTTGTCAGTTCCTTGCTCTTATTGCAAGTATCCCCCCACCCCCCGAAAGGCTGCAAATTAAGTTCTGACAAGCAGCCTTTGGATGCACGAAACACCATGAGCAAAATCTTCAGAAATCTGAACTGTTGTCTTCTACGACCACCATTCCCCTTTCCTTCTATTTATTCCCCAGCCAGGGAGGGACCGTTCTGTGTCCTAGTGTGCTTTGCTTCCCGAATTGATCCTTGTCCTCCGTGCATCTGGGAACAGGCGCCAGCTGTTCCCCCTCCCCATTTATCTCAGCCTCCAAAGGCAGCTGCCTCTCCGATGGCTGGGAAATGTCGGGCAACCCTGGCTCTTATCTCTGCGTCCAACGCTGAACATCCATCAGAACCTTCCCTGGGCTCCAGAACTGGCCCATGTTCCTCGCCAGTCTCCTCATTGTCTGAGTCTGCCGCCAGCTCTGCTGGCAGCTGGCAGGCCACAACAGGCTGGTAGATCCTTGAGAGAGATTCTAGATTGGTGGTGGTGGTGGGAAATTGAATCTCATAGGTTGCTATTCCTCAATTGCGCCAAAGCTGCTCCCTTTAGGGTGAGCCTGGAAGTGTTGGGGTTGTTTTCTTAACCCCCCTCCCCTCCCCCTGTGAAGGCTCAAGTGATTGACAGTGGCATTTCAATGATTTGGTGTTTGAGACCTGTTTTTCTGGCCCCCAATGTGGAAGCACCCCCCCCCAAACCCCCTGGAAGACTGTGGCCCACCCCTCCTAAGCAATTTTGTCAGGGTAAGTCTACAGCCAGGCAGCTAGGAGTGAATGTCCAGTCCTGGACATTGGGAGACTAACTTATCCTAGGGCCCATGGAGGTTAGAGAGCCATTCTAGCTACGGGCGGGGTGGGACGGGGTCTGGTTGCCTAAAGAGACACCAGAGTTTGCAGAGAAAGAAGCCCTTTCCCACACGGGTGGGCTGACAGGGAGGGTCTCACCCTCACGGCATCTTCATGGCCAAAAAGAGCTCTGCATAGTGGAAGAGGCTATATAGGAACATATAGCCTCTGTATCCAGGTGCACTAGCACTGACAATGTTACCTAGTTGGGTCATGAAACGTTTGCAAACAAGCCACTAAGCTCAGAGAGCACCAAGGGCTCTACAGTCCTCCTCCACCTCTTCTTCTTCTTCCTCCTCCTCCTCCTCCTCCTCCTCTTCTTCTTTCTCCTCCTCCTTCTCCTCCCAGCAAACTCCACTTTCCCTTCTAGCACTGATGATGTTACTTAGTTGGGTCATGGAATGTCTGCAAGATAACCACCAAGCTCAAAGAGCACCAAGGACACCCATAGTCCTCCTCATCTTCCTCTTTCTCTTCCTCCTCCCACTCTTCTTTCTCCTGCTCTTCCTCTCCTCCCCTTCCTTCTCTTCCTCTTCTTTCTCTTCTTCTTCCTCCTCCTCCTCTTCTTCTTTCTCTTCCTCCTTCTCCTCCCAGCAAACCCCACTCTCCCTTCTAGCACTGATGATGTTACTTAGTTGGGTCATGGAACGTCTACAAGATAACCACCAAGCTCAGAGAGCACCAAGGACCCCTCATTTCAACCCCGAGCTACAAATATTCTCCTGTATTGGTATCCAAAAGGGGACGCGGTGGCTTGGTGGCTAAGACACTGAGCTTGTCGATCAGAAAGATTGGCGATTCAGCGGTTCAAACCCCGAGCGCCACGTAACGGAGGGAGCTCCCGTGACTCGTCCCAGCTTCTGCCAACCAAGCAGTTCGAAAGCACATTTAAAAAATGCAAGTAGAAAAATAGGAGCCACCTTTGGTGGGAAGGGAACAGCGTTCCATGCGCCTTCAGCATTGAGTCATGCAGGCCATATGACCACAGAGATGTCTTCGGACAACGCTGGCTCTTTGGCTTTGAAACGGAGATGAGCACTGCCCCCTAGAGTCGGGAACGACTAGCACATATGTGTGTGAGGGGAACCTTGCCCTTTGCAGGTGAGTGAGGGGAGAGAATCCATATCGGATTTGTAGTGTCCCACCCCAATGCTCACCAGGTGCGGCAAGAACTGGGAAGTCCACTCTGCTGGCTTGGTGCTGATCAAATCTCCTTCTGGAAGGACTGTGTGAATAGGTACGAAATAGGTGTCCATGCAACCTGATGTTAATCTCACATCTGTTAGGAGATCTGCTTGCTTAAGAATTGAAAGCAGAAGCAGCACCTTAATTTAGAGAAGAGGTGACTTTTGGGGTTTATCGTTGTGGATGGATGTGAGGGGGGAAAGTATTTATGCCAGCTGAAGGAGGCAACGTTGTCCATTTGCTACTCAGCCCATCCTTCAAATGTTTTTAGTTAAATATTTCTAGTTCAACTCCTGGGCCTCCTAGCATTCTTTTCATCGATCTTCCTGGATTTGTAAAATCTTGATGGGGCACCGCCAAGACTCCTTACCCGCATCCTTAAAATTTTGCATGACCTTTTCCTTGTTTAAAATATGGAATAGCAGAGTTGGGAGGGATCCTGCAGGTCATCTAGTCCAACCCCCTGCTCAAGCGGGAGACCCTGCACCATTTCTGACAGATGGCAGTCTCTTCTTGAAAGCTTCCAGGGATGAAGCTCCAAAACCTCCGTTCCATGGGTGCATTGTCCTCACTGTCGGGAAAATTCCTCCTTATTTCCAGGTTGAACCTCTCCTTGGTCAGTTTCTATCCATTATTCCTTGTCTGGCTTTGGAAAATACGTAGCTTGACTCCCCTCCTCTCTGTGACATTTGAGGGATCAGTCCTAACGACACCACATTTGGAGAAGCTGCAGAAGTTTGCTTTATTTAACTTTTAGGAGTAGCCACTATCTTTGTTCTCCCGCGCTTTTAACGGGCGATATTTTAATGTTACGCTTGATGTTTGCTCTCGATTGCTAAAGACCCTGTATTAACACTAGGATAAGTCACGGTGACCTGACTAGAAGTTAGAACAGAGGTAGAAATAAGAAATGGGGGGGGGGNTCTGCGAAGAACAATTTCCTCGCCGGCGATGCCCGAGTGGCGAGGGAGCGAGCGGTGGTAGCAAAGTGGCTTCCTGGACGGCGCGGTCCGTCCGACTAAGGCGAGGACGGTTCCCCAGGCGGCGGGGGAGCCTTCGCCCTTCCCGGGCCGAGCCGGCGACCGACGAGCACATGGTGGACGGAGCCGGGCGGGCGGGGAGCAGCCAATGGGCGCCGTGCCCGACGTGATGTCAGAGCGGCGCTAGAAAAGGCGCGGAGCCTTGCGCGGGCTGGGACTGCGGCGGCTTCTGCCCGGAACGCGGCTCCTCCTCCCGGTCCTCCCCCTCCTCCAGCCTCGCGTTCCCGCCCCCCTGCCTCGGTCCCCGAAGCGGCAGCCGGGCTCAGCAGCTGCCGTCGCCACCGCCGCCACTTCCGCGCCTGACGGAGAAAGAGGAGGAGGAGGAGGCGCAGCGGCGGCCCTGCTCCCGGTTGCCTCCCTCCTTGCGCGGATCCGGCCCTCTCCGCTCGCCGCAGCGCCTAGGCCTCTTCCACCACCGGAGCCGTCCTGAGCACCACCGGGAGAAGCGGAGGCGGCCGCCCGTACCTCGCCCGCCGTCCGTGCGCCCGGTCCGGCGGGCGGGCCTGGAGCCCGCGATGCTTTGAGCCCGGCCGTGCCACCCCTCGTTTCTCCGCCGGCCTGGAGACAGAAGCCAGCCGGAGGAGGAAGAGGAGGCAAGACGGGGCGGCCGGACGGGCCGGGGAATGGCACCGCCTCGCCTCCGGTAACCGGGGAGCCAGAAGCGGCGATCGCGGGGAGCGGCGGAGAGGCGCGGGGCCTCCGGCGCGGCCATGCTTTTCCACAGCTTAGCCGGCTCCGAGATGCAGGGCGTCATCGACGAGATGGACCGGCGGAGCAAAGGAGACGCGCCCGCCATCACTTCGGTCATCGACCGTGGTGAAACCGAAACGGTAGGGCTCGCGGCGGCGGCGGCAGGCCCGGAGCCCCACTTTGAGGCGGGGAAAGATTCGGTGCGAGGCCGGGCTAGGGGCTCGGCTTCTCGGCCCCCAGTCGCGGTCCCAAAAGCTCCGGAGAAGGCACCTCCAACGAAATACGGATTTGGGTAGGGGGGAAGGGAGGAAAAAGGGTCGGGGAGCCGCGGAACTGGGAGCGATTCAATCTGGAAAATTTCCAGCCGAAGCGAAGCCGTTGTTCCTCGCAGACTTTAAGCGGAAGAAGCTCGGTTTTTAAGAACCCAAATCCTACCCCCCTAAAAGTCATTTTTGATTAACGATTATATTTTTCTGCTCCTCTCTCTAGTTATATCCCCCCACCGCCTGAAAGACATAAAATTAAATCAATTCAGGTGGATAACTAAGGCAAAGTTAGCCCACCTTCTTCAACCCAGCCAGAAAAGTGACTTGGCGAGAGAGAGGCTTTATTTTTTAATTACGATGCTTTAAAAATTTCATTACAATCGCCCACTTCCCCAAATCTAAGTATCTACGGGCTTTGCTTCCTCCCCCCCCCCCAATTTGCTTTGAATGTGTTTGCTTAACTAAGTGGCCTCGGTCGGCAACATTTTAATAGGGGGATTAGCATTTATCGAGGGTTTTTTTTTTGCGCTGGTTTATTTCCCACTTCTTGAAATCCTTTGCTTTCGCGGGTTTGAATTAGAGAAATGAACATTACCCGGTAAAGCGCCTTCCAGCCGTGTATAATATTTTTAAATAGTGGCAAAAAAATAACAATAGCATTGTCAACAATAATCTGTGTATAAATAAATGCATGGTGTGAAATGCTATTTATTTGGGGACATTATTTCGAAGTTGAACGAAAAGAGGCCTTTTCCAAATATTTTTCATCCGCGTTGTCTTATTTTTCTTCGACATTTCTTGGCACACAGGAGTCGGGAAAGAGAAGAGAACAGTTTTTCCCGTTTTTCTTTTCTTTTTTGTTTTACTGTTATTATTGTTGTTGCTATAATTCCCCCCCCCCCCCAAATGAGTCTGCTATTTTTTGCCCTTAGCATTTTTTTTTCCTGCAGAGACGCTTTGAAGAGAGAACCCAAGAAATCTATTCACTTATTTTTGCAGAGTTCCGAGCTTGGGCTTCTAACTATTCCGGCAGGAATTAAATAATAGGACAACCAGCTCCCCGCTTCCAAATATTAAAATCTATTTTCAAAAGATTTCCCCACTTTCTCATTTCAAATTAGAGGAACAGTTGTTGTTTTTTTGGCAGGAAAAATAAAATTCATCCGATGCTTAGGGATCTCTATTAAAAAAAAATCCCCGTCTCTTCCATTTCTAATTAAAATAATTATTTGTCCTATTTAAAAAAGAAAGATGACAGAAGAAGGGAATTTTCCTCCCCCAATACCTGCCGAAATGGGGTTGGATAAATTAAAATTTTACATTTTAAAATATTTTTATAAGAAAGAGGGGAAAAAAAAGATCCTTCGACCAGCTTGGTTATTTAGGCAGAAGGAGGAAAAAAATCCACCTCGAATAAATTCAAACTTAAACTCCGCGGAAGCTTCCAGTATGGAAGGAACTCCAAGTGAGTTCGCTCGGGGCAAATTTCCGCTGAAGTCGGTTAGAATCTCAGGCAGGGCTGATTGTAGCCAGATGTTTTGCGCTTCTTCGGAAGTGATGCCTGCTTAGCTTCTGTCGTGGAAACGCGCAAAAACACGGGCTTGGCTCTGTACGAAGCGCCCTTCCCTTCCTTCCACTCCTACCCGCTTAAATTTTCTTCATTTTTTCCTTTAAAACAACAACAACAGCAGCAGCAACAATGGGGAAATCTCCGAGGAGTAACGCGAGCGGCCGTTATTTTGTTAGCAGGAGAATATTTATTAGATTGGTGTGTGTGTTTTTTAAAAAAGGAAATATTACTAATTTTTGCTTTCTTCAAAGAGTTGAAAAGGGAGTTCCGAGCGAGATGAAACTGTCACTTTTAGGATTTGCACCCCTATTTATTTTACTGGGTTTTTTTTTAAAAAAAATCCCAACCCTCGCACCCCCACCGTTTCGCTTTTCCCGACGCGTCCCCCCTTCCCCCTTTTCGGTGGCACAATCCGTTACGGCGAGATACGCGCAGAGAGAAACAGAGTGGGTTCAAGACAACGCCGCTAACTCGAGCCCCGAATTCACACACACAGACACACCCCAGTTTCGGCTTCGTAGACACGCAGAAAGGCTGAATTCCCCCTAAAACTCGAGCGAGGATTTTTACAGCTACCCGGATCTGAAAACGCGGCCTCTTCTGCCCAGCTCTGACCTGACCTGGGTTGTGAGAAGAGAGCCAGGGAAGATGGAGAAAAGATTTAGGGGCTCTCGGGCCCCACCCACCCCTCGCCCGGTTTAGGCATTTCCAGGCAAGGCTTCCCGGGCCGGACAGGTGAAGCGAACAGCGTTGGCGTTCGCGGTAAACGCGGCTTTTTCTCCCCTCTTTCCGCAGCACGCTATGCCGTCGGTCAGCAGCGAACGGGCCGCCCTGTGCGCCGGCTGCGGGGGAAAGATTTCGGACCGCTACTACCTCCTGGCGGTGGACAAGCAGTGGCACATGCGTTGTCTGAAGTGTTGCGAGTGTAAACTGAACCTGGAATCGGAGCTCACCTGCTTCAGCAAAGACGGCAGCATCTACTGCAAGGAAGACTACTACAGGTAAGGAGCTTGGGAAGGGGACGGGGCAGGTCTGACCTGCGGGGACGGGACGGGAGAGCGGGCTGGAAGCTCCCCGGCTCGGTCTTCATAAAGACATACCTGCCGGCTCACCTGGCCCAGCAGCCGGCTTGTGGGGGGCGCCTTCCGAAAGGGGGGGGGCTGGGTCAGCGAGGGGCAGGGTCCTTTCCCGCGTGGTGGAGGGCGCTTCCCTTTCTTACCCCCCCAAAGAAAGGCAGGGAGGAACTGTGCACCTGTTCAGGTGAAGGCCTCAAAGGTTTCTCTCCTTTTTGTGTCTCTCTCTCTTCCCTCTCTCTGGCTGGCAGGAGGTTCTCGGTGCAGCGCTGCGCTCGCTGCCACTTGGGCATCTCCGCCTCGGAGATGGTGATGCGCGCCCGGGACTCGGTTTACCACCTGAACTGCTTCACCTGCTCCACCTGCGCCAAGATGCTCACCACCGGCGACCACTTCGGCATGAAGGACGGGCTGGTTTACTGCCGCCTGCACTTCGAGGCGCTGCTGCGGGATGAGTACCAGCTGCACTTCAACCATGCCGAGGGGGTGGCCGGCAAGGGCCCCGCGCTGGGGGCCGCCGCCCCGCTGGGCCTGCCCTATTACAACGGCGTGGGCACCGTGCAGAAGGGGCGGCCCAGGAAACGGAAGAGCCCGGGACCCGGCGCCGAGCTGGCTGCCTACAACGCAGGTAAAAAAAGAGGGAAAAAAACCCGTGCGCTGCGCCCTCCCGGTTTTGCAAACAGGACCCGCTTTTGCGCCAGGCTTCGTTTGGCGAGGAAGGCGCCGTCGCGCGTCCGGGACACCCCCGTTTGTCGACTTGGCGGCTTGGGGAGAACAAGCCTGTTGGAGTTTTTTCGGTGGGGGGACCCGGGCACCTCCTCGTCGTCATCCCCCGCTCTGCGCCTGGGCCTTGAACTCGCCCTGAATTGCGCGCTTCGGCAAGGACGTCTTTAACAGCATTATGGGGTCCCCGGGAAAGTAGTGTTACTACTGGGGTCCCCACGACAACTACTCCCAGGGATAAAAATGTGAAAATTAAACACATAATTGGCACGTTAGTCAGTGGCTAAGACGGCTGGGCTTGTCAATCAGAAAGGTCGGCGGTTCGAATCCCTAGCCCCTCGTAACGAAGTGAGCTCCCGTGACTTGTCCCAGCTTCTGCCAAGGTGGCAGTTCGAAATGCATGTAAGAATGCAAGTAGAAAAATAGGGACCACCTTTGGTGGGACGGGAACAGCGTTCCGTGCAAGTCATGCCAGCCGCATGACCACGGAGACTCTCCGGGCAGCCTTTGAAACGGAGATGAGCACCGCCCCCTGGAGTCGGGAACGACTAGCACGTATGTGCGAGGGGAACCTTTACCTTTACCTATTTTTTTAAAAAAATATAGTCAAATGTAATGAATACATTGCTGTATTTATAGGATACAAGGTGCATTGAAGGGTTAACATACACAGATTAGTCTGGGGCCCCTCTGCTCGCCATGCCCACATGCGTTAAGACAGCCCTGGGCCTGGGACGTTCCCACGTTCGGAACAGCGGATCTCCGCTTATACGAGGGAGTTTTGAGACAGGATCCCTTCTCTCAGCTTGGGCGCTAAAGCTGCGGGGTCTTCGCTGCTTTAGAGACGGGCTGGGCCGGGGCCGGGGGCGCTGGGGTGCAGATCCCGGGCTTCAGGAACGTGAGGAAAGTCGCGTTTCCTGCACGTCGGGATCAGGGTTGACCTTGGCCGCGCTATCTCGGGGCCGAGCGGAGAGGTTTCCCCTGCTTTTCCCCGGGGTGGCTCGCGGGGAATTTCGGAATTTCGGGCTGTGCAATTGGGGTGTGCAATTCATCCGTGTGTCGTGCGCGTAGGGTCGGAGACTATTTTGGAGGGGGGGACACAGGAGCGTCACCCGGAGTTTCTTAGCTAAGAAAGGAAAGGTGTTATTATGATTTTTTTTCCTGTTGCGGATCCGGCACGGTTGAAGGCGTCTGAACCTCGGCGAGAATGCGTGTCTTATTGGCAGAGGGAATGTATTGAGGAGGGGGATCCGGTGCCGAATATTAGGAGGGGAGTGGGGAGTAAGGAATTATTTGTTTTCTTTCGTCCCCTGGAAACCAACCCCTTTTCTAAGCAGTTGCTCCCTCGCCCCGCACCTGGGAAAGTTTATTCTTCGCCAACCGGCCACCCACCTGCTACCCCCCCCGCCCCAAATGTAGTAAAGTTGGGGCGGGGGGGAAATAGAGAGCAGAGTGAGGTGCGTGCTGGTTAGCTGAAAACCCCCTACCCCAATTGCAAACCCGGGGAAGGAATTAAAGCACTTTCTTTGATTGCGCCCGTATCGAACGCGAGTCGCATCTTGGTTCTATCATTTTCCCCGTCAATTTGGGGGCTCGAACTGAGGGTCGCGGGGGTGGGGCAGGAGAGGAGGAAGGGGAAGGGGAGAGGTTGGATGGGAGGCTGATGCAGCTGAACAACGGGAGAGTGGACCGGGCCGTTTTTGTTGGCCAGGCTAAAGGCGCGCGGGAGCCGTTTTCCTGGACGCGAATCGAGTCTGACAGGCGGAAAAACGGCTTCGGAGGGGGGCCCGGATTTCAAAAGGATTGTCCCCCCCACCTCCTCCATTGCCCCAAACGGTTTGCGCGGGGGCTCCCCTCCTCTGCATTTGGGAACTTTTCTTTCTTTCTTTCTTTCTTTCTTTCTTTCTTTCTTTCTTTCTTTCTTTCTTTCTTTCTTTCTTT